TGCAAAGTTTCAAGAGTTTTCGTGCACGTTAAGAGCCCCAAAAGTGCCCGAATAGTCGTAAGAAAAATAAAAGAGGAGAAAAAAAAAAAAAAAAAAAAAAATAATCCTAAGGAAAACAATAGGGCCTTCGCCTTTTCAAGGCTTGGGCCCTAATAATAATAATAATAATCCTAAGGAAAACAATAGGGCCTTCGCCTTTTCAAGGCTTGGGCCCTAATAATCCTAAGGAAAACAATAGGGCCTTCGCCCTTTGGGCTTGGGCCCTAACAATAATCCTAAGGTAAACAATAGGGCCTTCGCCTTTTCAAGGCTTGGGCCCTAATAATCCTTAGGAAAACAATAGGGCCTTCGCCTTTTCAAGGCTTGGGCCCTAATAATAATAATAATCCTAAGGAAAACAATAGGGCCTTCGCCTTTTCAAGGCTTGGGCCCTAATAAAGAAGAAGAAGAATAGCAAATAATCCTAAGAAGAACAATAGGGCTCTGCGCCCTTTCAGGGCTTGGGCCCTAATAAAGAAGAAGAAGAATAGCAAATAATCCTAAGAAGAACAATAGGGCTCTGCGCCCTTTCAGGGCTTGGGCCCTAATAATCCTTAGAAGAACAATAGGGCTCTGCGCCCTTTTAGGGCTTGGGCCCTAATAATCCTTAGAAGAACAATAGGGCTCTGCGCCCTTTTAGGGCTTGGGCCCTAATAATAATAATAATCCTTAGGAAAACAATAGGGCCTTCGCCTTTTCAAGGCTTGAGCCCTAATAAAGAAGAAGAATAGCAAATAATCCTAAGAAGAACAATAGGGCTCTGCGCCCTTTCAGGGCTTGGGCCCTAATAATCCTTAGGAAAACAATAGGGCCTTCGCCCTTTGGGCTTGGGCCCTAACAATAATCCTAAGGTAAACAATAGGGCCTTCGCCTTTTCAAGGCTTGGGCCCTAATAATCCTTAGGAAAACAATAGGGCCTTCGCCTTTTCAAGGCTTGGGCCCTAATAATAATAATAATCCTAAGGAAAACAATAGGGCCTTCGCCTTTTCAAGGCTTGGGCCCTAATAAAGAAGAAGAAGAATAGCAAATAATCCTAAGAAGAACAATAGGGCTCTGCGCCCTTTCAGGGCTTGGGCCCTAATAAAGAAGAAGAAGAATAGCAAATAATCCTAAGAAGAACAATAGGGCTCTGCGCCCTTTCAGGGCTTGGGCCCTAATAATCCTTAGAAGAACAATAGGGCTCTGCGCCCTTTTAGGGCTTGGGCCCTAATAATCCTTAGAAGAACAATAGGGCTCTGCGCCCTTTTAGGGCTTGGGCCCTAATAATAATAATAATCCTTAGGAAAACAATAGGGCCTTCGCCTTTTCAAGGCTTGAGCCCTAATAAAGAAGAAGAATAGCAAATAATCCTAAGAAGAACAATAGGGCTCTGCGCCCTTTCAGGGCTTGGGCCCTAATAATCCTTAGGAAAACAATAGGGCCTTCGCCCTTTCAGGGCTTGGGCCCTAATAAAGAAGAATAGCAAATAATCCTAAAAAGAACAATAGGGCTCTGCGCCCTTTCAGGGCTTGGGCCATAATAATCCTTAGGAAAACAATAGGGCCTTCGCCTTTTCAAGGCTTGGGCCCTAATAATAATAATCCTTAGGAAAACAATAGGGCCTTCGCCTTTTCAAGGCTTGGGCCCTAATAATAATAATCCTTAGGAAAACAATAGGGCCTTCGCCTTTTCAAGGCTTGGGCCCTAATAATAATAATCCTTAGGAAAACAATAGGGCCTTCGCCTTTTCAAGGCTTGGGCCCTAATAATAATCCTTAGGAAAACAATAGGGCCTTCGCCTTTTCAAGGCTTGGGCCCTAATAATCCTAAAGAAAACAATAGGGCCTTCGCCTTTTCAAGGCTTGGGCCCTAATAATAATCCTAAGGAAAACAATAGGGCCTTCGCCTTTTCAAGGCTTGGGGCCTAAAAAAATAATCCTAAGGAAAACAATAGGGCTCTGCGCCCTTTCAGGGCTTGGGCCCTAATAAGTCGGAAGAAGAATAATAATAATCCTTAGGAAAACAATAGGGCCTTCGCCTTTTCAAGGCTTGGGCCCTAATAAAGAAGAAGAATAGCAAATAATCCTAAGAAGAACAATAGGGCTCTGCGCCCTTTCAGGGCTTGGGCCCTAATAATCCTAAGCAAAACAATAGGGCTCTGCGCCCTTTCAGGGCTTGGGCCCTAATAATCCTAAGGAAAACAATAGGGCCTTCGCCTTTTCAAGGCTTGGGCCCTAAAAATCACTTTAACCACTAGATGGCTATAGAGCTCCACTATATGCTATTTGCTATTTGACTAACCGAAAGTGTTACAAAGAGAAATGTTGGAGTCTTTAGATTTTATAATTTATTTCAATCATCTGTTTTTAATATAATTCTACAATTTTAATCAACATTTAAGTTACTAACTGTAACATAACAAAAATGAACAGAAATTAACAGTTATATTACATATTGAGTAAAAATACATGACATGAACAGCAATAACAAATTAGTTTTTTATAGCCTTACAAATGTATTCCTGTGTGTGTGTGTGTGTGTGTGTGTGTGCGCGCATTTTCAATGTGTCAGTGTCACCAATTTATTTTTGTGGTGGTTCTGCATTTTGGATGATTTTATTTTACAAGTGATAAGAGAATAGTTTTTATATTCTCAAAAATGTATTCCTCTATGTATGTGTGTGTGTGTGTGTGTGCTAGTGTTGTCACGATACCAAAATTATTGTTTCGATACCGATACCAAGTCAAGAATTGCGATTTCGATACTTTTTCGATACTTTTCCTGAAAAGGGAGAAACACTCTCAAATATCATTGCTGTGCTTTATTTTAAAACTGGGACAACATTCCAATCATAACACACTAATAAATGAACATTTGAACAGCAGATAGGCTATAATAACCATTTGAACAAAATATGAAATATGAAAAATATAAAAAATAAATTAGAGCAATGACATTCAAGGTAAAAAAATAAATAAATTTAGCAGCATTATCTCAGTTATCATAAGAAACATAAGATTTTATCAATATCAATGCCACTGACGATTCTGCTTATCGATCCGATTCTTTAACGATTCTCTTATCGATTCATGATAGCATTGTGTGGAAAAAAGTAGTCATATGCTTTTTCGGGGGGAAAAAACAAGTGTTTTTATTTGTTTTATGTAATTTATGTAATAAATGAAACCTTATTACAAAGTGTTAACGATTAGTTATACACCGATTCAGACAGATCAGTTGTTTTAACCATTCATTAAAACGAATCGGTTCAAATGAGTCATTAGTTCGCAAATTGGACGTGTCATTATCGGACGTGTGCGCGTTGTGTGATTATCCAGGCGGTTACATCCCACTGTCATCACAGAAAACATTTCATGACTGGATAGTTTTTTTCGTTTATTTAAAGTGTGGTTTATGTCAGCTGAATGTGCGGAACGATTCAGAGAAGATAAGGCAACGTATTTTACCACAATTTACACCCAGCGGTAATTCAGAAAAAAAAAGAAAAAAAAACTCCGAATGCTCCACATGAAACTTTAGTCTCCCGACCTTACCATCGTGTCGAATTATTTTGATTAATATGTGCGAGGGAGAGAGAGAGAGCAAGACAGCGCTTATTTTTGAGACGGTGAAGCCTTGTTTATACTTTCGCCTGGCTCCGCAGAGAGAGAGAGAGAGTGCGCGCGCGCGACCGGGGCTCGCTCACTCTCACTCTCTCTCTCTCTCTCTCTGCTCGTTCAGTTCACGCGCCCTGTCACACGCGCATGAGGAGAAAAACACAGACATCCATAGGGAGGCACTGGAAGCGTGCGTTGCACACACCAACATGCAATACTCTCTTACAAATCTGGAACGCGGTCATTCTTAGAAGTATCGATACTAATAAATTTAGGTATCGTGAAGTTTTTAATTTCCGAGTATCGCGATACTTTTGAAGTATCGGTGCACCGTGCAACACTAGTGTGTGCACGACACGTGTGGTGAGCATTATAATTTTGCATTGTTGGAAGTGTGCCACTTTATTTCTGTCTATGTGTTCTGCGTTGTTTCTGATTTTGATGATGAATTTTGTATATTTACTATGCGGGGTCTCCAGGGTCCCCGAAGACAACTAGTGTCACTATTTTTTTCACGCTAACATAAAAACAGATATCATTCCAATTATTTTATTTTTTTGTAGATCTAGAAAGTGTTGGGAGCCGTAGAAGAAGTAGGTAGCTTCATACCATTTGGACAAAGAGAACATTTTTTAAAATTTGAGCAGAAGTAATTTGCAGGTTAAAAAGACCCCGAAGATAACCAGAGGGTTAAACACCAAAGGAAATGTGTGCTGTTTCGGTCTTACCTACGCTCGCGCGCTATCAACACCCGGGTGATGAAAGCGGAAATGACTGGTCATATTAGATATATTACCTTGAGCATACAGCACTAGCATTGAACAAAGTTTACAAACAGTGACTGTTTTGCCCACGTTTTTTTGACCATCGCTGCTGTGCTGTAACGTATTGGACATCCAAGATGTTCCCAGATAGCAGATTTATATGGCAGGCGATGGCTCTATTAGCTTGTCTTTTCGTGAGGAACTGTGATGTCAGCAGCAGATTTACATATTAACAATTGATTGGACAGATACTCTCACATGAAACACACACGGAGCATATCCATCGGAACCATACATTAGCTGAACTCTGTTTTATGCGATGTTGTTTTTCACCAAACCATATGATAGATGTGTTGACAGATTGAGACTAACTGCATTGCAAATGCTTGCCAAACCGTGGGAGAAATGTACGGTTGGATTTTTGTACCGAGAACCGTTACACCCATAATTCTAACTGATGAAACCTTGACTTCCTTTAATCGTTGTTGCATTTTTCACAAAACCTGATTTATGTTAGCCAGCTATCTCAACAACAACAACAACAGCAACAACACTGTGCATGCCATGTACTGAAATTATGCATGTTTGATTCTACATCAGGTTGTTGAAGACATACAAGCCCATCCGGATGCCCGCGCTGCTCCGCAAGATCAAGGTCATGTCAGCGGCACTTTGAACAAATGCATCCTGTTAGCGTTGCTCATCGCCATCAGCATGGGCTTCGGGCACTTCTACGGTGAGAAGGGACCTAATGTCTGTCTTGTTAACATGCTCTTCTTATTAAATGATTTAAAGTGGAACTTTTAGGATGAGTATCCTTACAAAAATTACTGTGTAAGTAAGTTAAGCTTCATTTATATAGAACCTTTTAAAAAGGTTTAACAAAGAGACATATGCTGTATATAAATGTTCATAATTGTTCACATACGTGCATATGAATGTTTGGCAGTACGGTGATGATATCAGATGGTAATACCTTGTAGAGATGAAACCGCTACCAGTTTATTGATAAACCATGATAAAATTCTTGACGGGTCGGAATTGACCGTTCGCAAAAGCCACGCCCCCTAGTTATTGTTACTACGCCCGTCAAACAAATGGTTAAACACGACCAGCGCGACAGATTCCCATGACGGGAAGAGGTATAAGTTAATGTTACCCGTGCGTGTCAGTGACCTTTTTTGGAGCAATACCTCAGCGATATCCTCCAGATCGAGGCAAAATGGGTTACAGTATGCAGTGGAGGGATATATTCAAAATATAAAAATACGCAATGAAGTAGACACGACTACTATCGAGGCGAATGCTTATACCGGTCTCAAGCTAAATCTGAGAAACCCCATGACCTGTACCTCAAATGCAACCAGCACAGCCTTGAAGAAGATTTTATAAGATGGTTCAGTGGCTAATTGTTTGGAGTTAGAAATGTAGAACTCGCGCTGCATATTTAGTCATTTTGCCTCAGATACAGGATTATACAAGCAGAAGCAGGTTGTTCATTACCACGGCAACCGCTTGCGTGTCATGCTGAATGCGATTTTCGTGTTTAAAAAGTAACTATACATAAGAGACGGAAAGATGCAGATAACCATACATTATTTAAGGTTATTTCTATTCGTTACGATGTTGTTGTACGGTGATGTTGTCAAGTAAGCTTCATGCTTTCCCCGTTGCGAACGTGCACTCCTCTAAACTGTAGCCTACGGGTGCTGCACTGCTAGTTGACTGCTGCTCATTTCCCCCCGAGAATATCATGTTCACAACAACCCTTTAGAAAACGTAACTCCTTTGTGGATCCTCTTGATCTGCTTTCTCCATGTTTCTTTGACTAATCTCAGTGTCTCAGTCTCACGCACGCTGCACGCGAGTTAACCGTGTTCGACACATGTAACTGGGAGTGGGGCCGTCCACACTGTTATATCCATTGTAGGCACCGCTCACGTTGTGTTTTCGGCTTTGGAAATGGAAAGAACACAACTCCTCCAGACAATCTATCGGGGTACCTAGTGTCCGATTTACAAACGCCGTAGGCGCACCGCTTCAGCATCTTGCTTGGAGTCAATGTTTGATGGACCTACTCACATAGTAACGGTTGCTATGATGTGTGATTGGACAATGGCCGTTTTGTGGGAGGGGCCTGTGAACGGTCAATTACCATTTTATACTTTAATTATCATTAAAACCTTATTTGATTTGAAAGACTGTTGGTGGTAAATACTATCCAGCATTAAGTAAAGTTAGCAGCAGTCTCGTACAGATGCAGCATGCATCGTAGGTTTTGTTTTGTGTGAAAACAAGGTGGAATGCAGTGAGGTTTTACAGCAGGGATGGGCAAACTGAGTCCTGGTGGGCCACTGTACTGCAGAGTTTAGTTCCAACCCTAATCAAACACACCTGAGCCAGCTCATCAATGTCTTCAGGATTACTAGAAGCAGAGATGGTTTTGTTATTGGGAGATACAAGGGTCCGTGGCTTTACCATTGGAGAAAGCATAATGGCCAACTTGGATCACTTGTACCTTGATAACCAATCACATTACAGCCTGCCCTTGACGTCATTGAATTTCGTTCAGAGATGTGCAACAGTCAATCACCATTTGCGGATACCATAGAAATGAATGAAGTGAATAGAAGTGCTGTAAACTAAATCCTACCTGTCGCGCAGTTGTCCATGACTTCTCTTATAAAACATCACTTTTTCGGTGTAAAGTCTAAAAATAGGTCAATCCAAAATTAATGTTTTAAGAGTAAACATGTTGAAGATTAGTTGAGAGGCTGTCGATTCATAAGCAGTCTATTCAGCATAGTGAAGCCTCTCCTCCATTGACATCCATTAAAAAAAACAGCTTCTGGTCTCCTTCCCTGCGTATTGTAGCGTTACACTATTTTTTGCTAACCTTGTAGGCTTGCCTTAAAAACCAACGCCCCCGGTACCGGGGGCAAACACTTTGTTATGATGTCCGTACGTTCTTTTTATAGGCTTCCATAAGGTATCACCCAATTCATGGTATCATTTGAAAGCTTAGAATCTAAACTATACAAAGAATACCAACACTTTCGTTTTTATGATACATATCAAATGAAATATTAGCTTAAATATGCATTGGTCCCAGGCAAAAAAAAAATCCGCTTTATGATTGCGAAGAAATATTTCTACAAATATTTATTTGATATATATTTCACAAAACTGTAAAGTCATATATAACAACAAAGCTCTCATTCTAAGGAATTGGTCAATGTAGGTTATTACATTGTGAGACAATTATAGATCGAAATATCTTCAAAATAATCACGCCGTGAAATACAATCAAACAGAGGTGACAGATAAAAGTATCACATTCCTGCTCCGATGTCGGCTTCAGTGAGCCGCAAACAGCCACATAATCTATATCACCTTTTAGCTTAGGATGTTATCTTTCAAATGAGACCATTTTCACGTTTCTGTGAGCTTTCGTTGGTAAGAAAAAGCATTTCGAATGAACTGAGAGGAGACACGCTCTGAGTGCGTAAGACGCGCAAGACACCGAATCTCCAAGCCATCTACATACAAGCGCTAGGCTTAGTTTTGCTACTGGTAAAGGCAATGCATTTAGTATATCTCATTCTAAAAGGAACTAAGCTCGCGTCACATATCAGACGGACCTTTCACAAGACGGGATTCCAACCGACGCGGACCTGCTCCCTAGATCACTTCCGGGTGACCACTCCGGGTGACTGATCTGCGAGTTCACGTGTGTTATTATAGTTTATGAACTGTTTTGATTTCTATAATTGCATCTAGAAAGATAAAAGCATCAATGGCATTGATAAAAGCGATCTTTGGAAGTGCAACTAAACTTACCCAAACGCAGTCTTGAGAATGCGCACACTCAAAACTTCTCCAAATCATCCATTTAGAAACCAGCTGTGCCAACTGTGCCAACAGTGCCACATCTTCAATCTCCAATAGAACCTGAAACAAAGAAATCACTGTTTATACATAGTTTCTGCACTGTAATAATATCCATTTCACAATATCAAAATGTAGATTTACTGAAATTACCATTTTATTCAACTTATGCAAAGTTTGAAACTATTGCGCAAACATACTTTCCATATCCAAAACATTTGACATTTATTTTCAAATAATAGTTTATCAGATTGGTTGCTGTGCTTTCACATTTCAAACTAACAATAACTTTATCAAAAAATGTATATAAACATTGTTAATGCTGAAAACCCATAAGGTGTACGGCATCACATCTCCAGGAGGCTGGCCGGTGATGTTGAGGTGATGCACAACACAGGTGACAAAACTGATGCCCATATAATGAATGATATAAATCTGGAGGATGAGGATCCTGTTCTAGATTGTAATAGACCACAGATTTTAGGCAAATCATTTGTAATTTGATAAGTCTTGTATCTTCTGAAAGAATAAAATGATCAAAATCATAAAGCGCCTATTTTTAGGGCCCAAGCCTTGAAAAGGCGAAGGCCCTATTGTTTTCCTAAGGATTATTTATTAGGGCCCAAGCCTTGAAAAGGCGAAGGCCCTATTGTTTTCCTTAGGATTATTAGGGCCCAAGCCCAAAGGGCGAAGGCCCTATTGTTTTCCTAAGGATTATTTTTTTTTTTCTCCTCTTTTATTTTTCTTACGACTATTCGGGCACTTTTGGGGCCCTTAACGTGCCCGAAAACTCTTGAAACTTTGCACGCGGGTCAGAACCCGCGGCCATCAGGGCCGGGCTGAAGCTGGTACCCGGGCGTGGCAGGGGGGCTCGACAGCGCCCCCTGGAACGGGGTCCGAAAACTTGGTCCAAAAATCAAACACGCTTGCATGTAAGAATATGAAACTCGGTACACATGTAGATCTCATCAGTTCATATATACTTCATACTCTTACTTTTTACCCCAGCCCAACAGGAAGTCGGCTATTTAGGGTTGTTTGTAAAACGCATGCAATGGAATTTAAAGTACTTCTCCTAGAGAATTCAAAGAAATGCCACGAAACTCGGTCAGCATGAAGTCAAGACATTGAGGATGAAAAATTGCGAGGGGATTTTTGATATCTCGAACGGTTTGGCCGTGGCGAGGAAACGAAATTATGGCGAGAAACGTGAAACAGGAAGTGTGTTATAACTTCTGCATACATTAACTGATCTTAATGAAACTTCAGCAGTGTGTTCGCTGTAAGAGGGCGATCACATGGATGTGACTATTGTGAGTCAAAGTTATAGCGCCACCAACTGGCAGCAGGAAGTGTGTCACTTTCAAAATGCTTCGAAATCACCCTCTTATTTTAACCCAATTTGCTTCAAACTTCATCTGTATAATGTAAACACACGCCAGATGTAGACCTGTGAATGGATTCTTGATATCTTTGATACTGTTGCCGTGGCAACACATCAAACTTTAAAATTCTTTTTTGATGCTTTTGAGACTCTTAGCATGCTTGAAATTGCATGAAACTCGACAGACACGTCACATTTATTAGCCAGTAGACATGTGCAAAGTTTCAGAAATGGGCGTGGTGCAGGGACTCAGTAGCGCCACCTTTTGACAAAAGTGAGATGGTTAGTTTCATAGTTTTACCTGCAATCTTATAACTCGGTAGGCATATTGTTCAGATCAAGCCGGACAACTTTCTAATTTACAGATTTTGGTTCCGAACAACAGGAAGTCAGATATTTTGGTTTGAATGTGGATGCTTTGGAGTAATCTCTGTCCCTCTCTCCCTCTCTCTGCGTACCTCTGT